AATTTAAAACTGATGAAAATCTTACCACGTAACCGCGTGTCCACCTACCCCATCCCATTCTTTGTTTCTTGTATATATCTCGTTTGTTCGTAATGATGATTTATCTTATTCAAGGGCGGTTATTGGGATCATCTATAATAATGTAATGAAAATATATTACTGTTGAAGATTACAATGATGACGATAATGAGAATGATAATAATATTTTCAAATACTACTACTACTACTACTATTACTACTACTACTACTACTACTACTACTACTACTACTACCACCACCACCACCACCGCCACCACCACCACCACCACCACCACCACCACCACCACCACCACTACTACCACCACTACTACTAATAATAATGATAATTATTATTATAATAACGAAAACAATAACGATTTTGATAATAGTAATAATAATTGTGGACACATTATTGGCACCTGTAAAACGATTCGTTTTTGCACTTTACTTTGAACACATGTATATGAATTTCGATTCATGTGCACGACATGTCTGGTTTTTGTTGTTGTCAACTGCAAATTCTTTTATTGACTTTGTAGTTTTGTAGGAATGTATGTATTGTGTATTTATGTATCATTACACTGTGTAGATTACCCGAAGTTCCATTTTTGGAAAATTATGAACCTTAAGGAACTTTATGAATATATTAATTACTGAGATTTACGTTAACCATCATCTTTAGCAGAAATATACGTTCGTTCTGTTTTTTTATGTTATGCACTATTATTTGAAAATTGTAACATGGAATGGTGTTACCAATGCAGGCGTCAATTTGAAGCCTGGACCCACCCTCCTCAAGTCATCACCTTTCTTCACCTGAGCCAATTAGTTCTAAGGTTAGGATTTCACCACCACTTCACAAAAACATAATTATAGGCGAAGTATCACTTTATCGGCAAAAGTATTAGTCCAGGCTTCACCCTTTAAACTATTTCCATCGGTGAAGCTTCACTTTTTTCAGTTTTCGCCAGGTCGAAGCTTCACCACTGTTTCACCAGCATAGTTCAAGCTTCCTCGACGTTTACTTATTAGGGACTTTTAGATTGAGTGGACGAGACCACGACGAACGCCGACTGATCATGCGTGTCAACGTACTCAACTGCCCATGTTGACTACAAATCTTTTAGATTTCACTCGACGATATACATGCATGCAGGAAGTAACACTATGAATATCACGAACAAAGAAAGAGGACAAAATATACAGTTCCTCATTCTACCCTCAACAAAAGAACATCCCTTAATTCACTGCTATTATTTAAAAATGTGTAGAACAGGTGAATATGCCTGTGGCCTGTGGCACCTGTTCTACACATTTTTACAAAATAGCAGGGAAGGGATGTTCCTTTGTCTACCTGATGAACTGTATATTTTATGCGCACGCGGCATACAAGTACCTTGAGCATGTAAAGGCGCTATATAAATATCAATATGTATGTATGTATGTATGTACTAGATTTAGGAAAATCAAGTTTGATGCATTCTCGATCGCCGACTGAGACGACGTAACGCATGCGCAGTGCCTTAAAATGACGTCACACGTTGCAGTCAAAGCTGTTGACGTGCAAATCTAAAAGTCCCTATTACTAGACCATGACTGCAACCAGGGTCAAATTTGTAATTCCACACTGCCTCAACCAAGTCAACCATTTTCAATCTAAAGATACGATGACATATTTATTTTGTCAATCAAATGTTTCTACAGATAGGCCTACATTTGTGTTGTTATAAAACTTTAAAAGCATTTAAGTTTGTACAAAAGTTGTTTCAACTATTGTTAACGAACTCTAACTCTTGTTAACTAACTATTACAAACTAACTCCTGTTAACTAACTCTGTTGATTGTCAATGAAACTAAATATTAATTCCAGACAATTAACTGTAAATATAATGAATTTGCATTATGACCAACAATATGAGTTCTTGTGTAACTTGTTTTTACCAAAAACTCAACAAGCAAATGTTTCTTATTAAATACATGCAACGCTGTAACATTTTTTTTTGTAGTGTAAATAAACCAAGGTATTATGATGGTATAAAATGGATCACATCCATATATAAAATATTTAAGTGTTGTTACAATGCCCAGCTAGGGCAGGGGAGCTCAATTACTGATCTACGGATACAAATGCTCGAACATGCAAACAATTCTGCTTATAGGGCTACCCTTTGGACGATATCCTGTTTAGTAGATAAAATATAGTGCAAAACTAAGCTAAATTTTGGTTATGGGATTGTTTTTTTCCTCGAAAGGGCCAATAATTAACAAGGTATATTTTTGAAAAAATCTGGTCATGCATTTGTACACACTAGTACCCCCCTTATACAATGTAGACCTGTAAAAACACATTTTTGGCCTGGTTTAAAATTAAGCTTATTAAATTTCCTCTTCACAATAGCTTGGTTACAGCTCATTTATTTAGTGAATTCAAGAAACTGTTGGTCGGGTTATTATACAACCGCCTGATGATGGACCAGCCAATTTCAGCCGTGCCCATCACATAGTCAAATGTGTGGACATTTATACAATGAAGTTGCTTATATTCAGAAAGACATATACAATATGGTATTAAAAGAGCCTTTGAGTTGATTTCTCATGGTTACCCTACAACTTTTTTCATCATCTTCATGACGAACACATCACAGTATCCTTATGGGAAATGACCGACACAACACTGAAACTACTACACTCTGAGTGACATCACATCTTTAGTATATCAGTATAGCTAGTATATACAGAGGTTGCTCATTTAGTTTAAAGAAAATTTAATCACGTGAAGAGCTCTCGACCAATCCCTGCACAAAGAAATTTTCCATCAAGTATATAACAGGATTTTTTAATGTAAACAGGCATATTATACAGAGCGATTCTAGATAAGGAAAAAATGACATCATGACAATGTTTCTCGTCTACAAATAGTGTTAATGAAAATATATTGTGGGGATTTCCTTTAAGTCATTTCATCCAACTTGATGAATTACTAGTTTAATTAATATGGCACTTTCATAGCACTTTATGAAAGTCTAAAATAAATCGAAACTAATACATTCATATTATTAATAGACTTATGACTAATGTCAAATTGTCATTTTTCTAATACGGATATAACGAATAAAATGATAGAATGGATAAATGACCTGAACTACATGAATATGTACAAAGTGATCAATAAGAGTATTTCAGTTTATAGTTGTCGATTATCTAGACGTCACAACAGCTTTTAAATCCTATCTCCAAAAATGACAAAGTGAACATAAAAACGACTGATCTGCGCTTGCCATGACATGGAATACATTTTCAAGTACCGGTAAAGCTTTTGAGAGGAATCAACATACAAATATAAATCAGAGCAACTTTAGAATACCCCTCCAAAAAAATTGACCAGACATTCGTAGGTTAACCAACGCTTCACCAATGAAGATACATCTTTAAAGACTTAACTTTCTTAAAGGTGAAATTCAAAGAAAATCACAAATATGTCAACTAATGTATCACTAGAAACTGGTAAGCTAGCAGATGGCCATCGTACAAGTTTTAGGTCAACTAAAACTACCCAAGCAGACGACATCCCATAAAGAATTAACATAATTGCAAAGCTATTATTTGTCAAATTATAATGAGTTTAGTGTATATTTAATGTAATGGCATGTCAAACCATTCAAAAAGGGATATGACCCGATTCTGATAATAAAATCTTTTGCTTGTAAATACACAGGATAGGGGTTAATTAACAATCAAAGAAACCAGATTTTCAAATTTAAAAAACCCCGAAATGATAATAAGGGTGGCATTTGTTCCCTCTTGAAACGCCGAACATACCGCGGTGTGTGCAGCTGAATATACAATGGCGTCTTATTTTGTTTACAAGCGCCAGATTCCTTTATTTTTGTATCGCTGCATTTGTCATCAAAATAAAACCATGCGCGGGGTTAAGAGTGAGGCAATAGATTATACATTTAGCCTGGCGGTAGTAATGGAAGAGAAAGAAATCAAGAGAAGATGAAAATACAGGCACTGAAAATGTGTGAGATGTCATGGGACATCGTCTGCTTGTGCAGATCATGTCCATACCGTGATCTCACACATCTCAGCAGCGTTCGGAGAGCTCTTCATCAGGTGCTATGCCGGGGCTGTATTTAAGCGTTTTGTAATTTATAATAATCATTACTTCGAATGTTTCCAAGCATTGAATTTTGATAACCTTGTTTCGAAATAAAAGTTTCAACTTTGAAATAATGAAAATAAAGTTAGTTTTTAAAATCAATGAATATCTACTTTAAGTAACACTTACCCTAATCTTTACCCTAAATCTAACCCCATCCTAAACCTATCCCTAAGTCTAACCCTAGGTGTTGGACGTTCATGTACATAAACCCTATTGATGGGGTCTGCTTGTTCTTATGGAATTCTTCCCTCGGTCTTTTACACACAAAATGTTCGAGAAATATATAAATAAAGAAATTCTTACCAAACTGTACGATCTCCCAGTAGTACTTGTATTGGTTGCTGCCATTTTTAATTAATTAAAATGAATGAATTGTTGTCTGGCTTGTCTGACCGTGGACAATGGTCTGACATAGCAAATGGTATGCATCAAACTACGTTCTGACTAGACTATTAAACTGCAACATCTTACAAACAGGTGACTCAAATATGTCATCGCTATAGACAGCTTACATGGAGGAAGAAGCAGCCATAAATGTGAATACATTAAGAAAGACGATTGTTAATAATCCACATCCTGTGTAATGCTATAAACAAAAATATCAGCCCCTATAGGCTGAACTGGGAGATCACGTGGTTTATAGAAAATAATTTTATTTCAGTTCAATCTCGTATTTCATTAGTAGGCCTATGTTAATATCCTTAAATTATCCTCCGATTATTCTTTTACATCTTTTCCATGGTGCAGAAATTAAGAAAGACAATTTATCAGATCGGGTTCTACGCCCCCCCCCCTCCCCTCCCACACACGTTTTGTTTCACATCTTGTTCTTGCAGCACACACTTATAAAGACAGTAAAAGCAGAGAGCGAGATCCACATAGCGAAGCTCAACCACGCCGTCATCTGTCAAGAAAGAGAAAGGAAAAAGTATGAAAATACAAAAGATACAAAAGGGCTGTACGACACATGCTCTGCGAAAATACTACATGGTGTTTCCTATATAAACCGAATTCCAAACGTCAACCCTGTACCCAACACCATAGTCGTACCTTACCCTAATCCTAACTTCAAACCCAATAGCAACCCTAACCTTAACATTATACAGTGGCGGATCCAGGGGGGGGCCGAAACGGCCGCGGCCCCCCCTATTGGCGGCGCAAAAAAAAGAGGAAAAAAAAGAAAGGAGAAGAGAAGAAAAAAAAGAGAAGAGAAAAGAAAGGAAAAGAGAAAAGAAAAGAGAAGAAAAAAGAAAGAAGAGAGAGAGAGAGAGAAAAAAAAAAAGAAGATCCCCCCCCCCCCCCCCACCTCACTCCCACTCCGGGGTCGGAGGGACCGATTTTGTATTTCCGATAAAGGGTTACTTTTCACGCAACAAAGTCCGGCCCGTAATGCACACAAATCCGGCCCGCACTGACTCTACACACCGAAGATAAAGGGGTGCTTTCAAACTAAGAGAGGGAACATACATGCGCATACCCTAGATAACACTGAGTGGGTGGGGGGGGGGGGGGGGGGGGGGGGGGGGGGGGTGGGAAGGGGAAGAGAAAAGTCGGGTGAGAAAGGGGGAAAGACAAGAAAATGGCGCTAAGTGACAGTAACGACGAATAAGGGAAAAACTGTAATCGGGAGATTTGGGGTCATTCCAGAAGGCTTGGGAAACGTTATTGAATAGAGGGGGCCGGGCCGGCCGCATAAAATCTCGAGCCACTGATTCAAAGTTAAACGTTACAAACAGCCCCTGCTTTTTGAAAAAAATTGAAAAGGGCACAATGTTTTGGATGTCTTTCAAATAGAAGCTATATACTAAACAGTCAAATTTTAAATTAACGGTAGGGCCGCTTCACAACTCTTATTTTGCCCTTCATTTGGATTCAGCTCATACAAACTCGCTTGTGCTTATATTTGAACTCATGTAGGTAGTGATAATGGACAGCGGCGGTGATCCTGGGCCCGATAGAGAGACACGGCCCCCCGGAAATTTAGATATATAGCTAGAAAGAAATATACATGTAGCGGAAAGAACAGAAAGGATTTTCTAGAATGCATAATTTCAGCATTCTACATTGCAAAATCTCGCTTGGTCGCTCCGCTCCGGCCCTCGCCCGATAACACAAATCTAAGATATGACGCTCCCGGTCGCGATTATTTCATGTTTGGTGTATACATAGATTTTGTTTTCCCCTTTCATTTCTACTGACCTAATTGTAAGCTATCAAAATCATGATTGTTTCATTTTCCCTTTAAAGCATGCGTAGCTAGGGGCGGTAGGGGCAGTAAGAGGACATAGGACGAAAAAAGGAGCAGACAAAGAAACATTTTTGACAAGTCTAAAACGGGACAACAAATCGTCTTCTTTCTCTAATAATTTAATGAAACGTTAAGCTTCTGCGCTTTGCGCTGGAGGGGAAAACTGAATTCAGAGAAGGATTAAGAGTCGGGAATGGAACAACGAATTATCTTCTTTCTCTAATAATTTCATTAAACTATGAAAGGTCAGAGCTTCCGCGCCTCGCGCGGAAGGTGGAAAATGAATTCAAACAATGATTAAGAATCGAAAATGAGACAACGAATCATCTTATTTCTCTCATAATTTAATGAAGCGTCAGAAGCTTACGCGCTACGCGCGGGAGGAGGAAAACTGAATTCAGACAAGGATTTAGAGTCGAGAATGAAACAACGAATCATCTTCTTTCTCTAATAATTCAATGAAACGTCAAAGCTTCCGCGCTTCGCGCGGAGGGGGTAATCTGAATTCAGAGAAGGATTGAGGGTCGAGAATGGAACAACGAATTATTTTCTTTCTCTAATAATTTCATTAAACTATGAAAGGTCAAAGCTTCCGCGCTTCGCGCGGGAGGGGGTATGGAAACTGAATTCAGACAATGATTGAGAATCGAGAACGGTACAACGAATCGTCTTCTTTCTCTAATAATTTAATGAAACGTTAAGCTTCTGCGCTTTGCGCTGGAGGGGGTAATCTGAATTCAGAGAAGGATTGAGGGTCGAGAATGGAACAACGAATTATTTTCTTTCTCTAATAATTTCATTAAACTATGAAAGGTCAAAGCTTCCGCGCTTCGCGCGGGAGGGGGAAAACTGAATTCAGACAAGGAATAAGAGTCGAGAATGGTACAACAAATAATCTTCTTTCTCTAATAATTCAATGAAACGTCAAAGCTTCCGCGCTTTGCTCGGAGGGGGGAAAACTGAATTCAGACAATGATTAAGAACCGAGAACGGAACAACGAATCGTCTTCTTTCTCTAATAATTTAATGAAACGTCGAAGCTTCTGCGCTTCGCGCGAGAGAGAGGGGAGGAACTCAATTCAGACAAGGATTAAGAGTCGAGAACGGTACTCTTTCTCTAATGATTTAATGAAACGTCAAAGCTTCCGCGCTTCGCGCGGGAGGGGGTATGGAAACTGAATTCAGACAATGATTAAGAATCGAGAACGGTACAACGAATCGTCTACTTTCTCTAATAATTTAATGAAACGTTAAGCTTTTGCGCTTCACGCCGGAGAGAGGGGAACTCAATTCAGACAAGGATTAAGAGTCGAGAACGGTACTCTTCTTTAATGATTCAATGAAACGTCAAAGCTTCCGCGCTTCGCGCGGGAGGGGGTATGGAAACTGAAATCAGACAATGATTAACAACCGAGAACGGTACAACGAATCGTCTTCTTTCTCTAATAATTTAATGAGACGTCAAAGCTTCCGCGCTTCGCGCGAGAGAGAGGGGAGGAACTCAATTCAGACAAGGATTAAGAGTCGAGAACGGTACTCTTTCTCTAATGATTTAATGAAACGTCAAAGCTTCCGCGCTTTGCGCGGGAGGGGGTATGGAAACTGAATTCAGACAATGATTAAGAATCGAGAACGGTACAACGAATCGTCTACTTTCTCTAATAATTTAATGAAACGTTAAGCTTTTGCGCTTCACGCCGGAGAGAGGGGAACTCAATTCAGACAAGGATTAAGAGTCGAGAACGGTACTCTTCTTTAATGATTCAATGAAACGTCAAAGCTTCCGCGCTTCGCGCGGGAAGGGGTATGGAAACTGAATTCAGACAATGATTAACAACCGAGAACGGTACAACGAATCGTCTTCTTTCTCTAATAATTTAATGAAACGTCAAAGCTTCCGCGCTTCGCGCGGGAGGGGGTATGGAAACTGAATTCAGACAACGATTAACAACCGAGAACGGTACAACGAATCGTCTTCTTTCTCTAATAATTTCATAAACATTAAAGCTTCTGCGCTTCGCACGTAATGGGGGGGGGGGGAGGGGGGGGGGGAGGGGACAGCGAGCTGCCCGAATATGAATTTGTTATATCTTTTCTCGTATATTTTGGAGACAAATAACACTTTCACAAAATACATATTATCCTCAAATTTTTGCTCGCTCGCTTCGCTCACTAGCCGAATTGTGAAACCAGAAAATTACTTTTTCGGGCAAGAGGCTTTAGCCCCCCCCCCCCCCCCCAATGAAAATGTCAAAAAAAAATTACCAGTATGGTGCTTCTAATATGACCTTGTCAGTATTGGTATGTTGAGTTGAAAAACTGTCTGCGCAATTTTCAAATTTCCGGCCCCCCCCCCCCCTATTGGAAAATCCTGGATCCGCGCCTGTTATATACCTTTTCTGAAATGAAACCCGGAGCAATTATTGTCGGCGGTGTAAATGTCGGTTCACCAACAAAAGGGGTCAGTGACTGCTTTAAGAAATTCAAGTCAAGTCCATTCAATCAGGGAAAGTCGAATTTTCGTTAATACCATCGACCGATTTTAAATCATCATCAATTTTAGATTAAATGCATGTATTAAAGATAAAGGTGAGTTCTGGTAATGCTATTGCATTGTGAAAGAAAAGGTGTGGAATTAATCAGAAAAAGTTGGTCATGTAGCATGTAAGTATTGGTGTGCACTGCAAGATTCTCGAGTCATAAAAATCATAATAAATTTCGCCCAGTCTTGGTAAAGTAACAAGCACTGCACACATAAAGATGTATATGAGACTACACAAAATGTGTCGGGGCTAGCTTACCTTGATTTCCTTATCTGTCTATGTTCATTACTCAGCCAGTATACATTTTCTTCCAGAATTGTTTGGCACATGAACATTTATTTGTAATCTTGAACATTCAGTGTAAGTTTCGTTTGATTCATGTGAGAATTCATTTTTTTTTTTTTACCAGAACTCAAGTTTATCTTTAATATAATTATTTACCTCTGCTGTCAGGAGATAGTCGTGGAAGTGGGTTGCATCGAAGGGAGGTATGGCACCCTGTTGTTGAAAATCAATGCATCTTCATCGGAGAAAATGTACGGAAGAAATTTGATTAATTTAAGATCTATATGGAAGCATGTATAAGGTATATTGTAAGCAATGTCTTCTCCGAGGAACTTGGCAATGAGCGTTAATGCCTCATGCACATTGTATTCGTTTCGAACAAGGGATCCCTCTGGATCCCCCCGTTAAGAGAATATTGCTCTAAACCGGGCTCTATAACTGAGCTTTTCGGTTATGAATAGACATATTGGAGAGAGTGAGAAGGGGTGTGGGAAATTAGGAGGGAGAGGGAGAGTATAGGAGATGAGGGGAGAGAAGAGAGAGAGAGTATGTGAGAGAGAAAGAGAGAGAGAGAGAGAGGGGAACATGAGAGAAATATAGAAAGATGGGTGGGCACGTGCCCAATCTATCTATACAGAATTAATGAAAGTATAGTGTAATGTTATTTTACTATACTTTCCTAGCCATTAAATATTTTAACAGAGAAAACTGATGCATTTTGAACGATTCTTACTCATCAAAGAACGGCAAATTCTGATCCACAAGCCCTTTGCAAAGTTTATTGAACCCAATGGTCACGATAAATGCTGATGTCATGATCAAGATGGCGACAATAAGATAGAGAACCACGAAGAAAACTGAAACCAAGGCGCTGAATAAAAAAATAAAAAAAGAGAAAGGAAGGAAACAATCAACATCATTACAGTCATGCGTGTCTAGCCCAGAGGTTCTAGCAAACGATGGACATTTAAACAAATACGCTAAATGTATTTCATTTTTCCTTTTGCACACAGCAACACATTTTTTTACACGTAAAAAGAAGAAACATTATTGTCACCATTTATCTTTGGAATATAGACCTAAGTATAGTATAGGGCTCTTTTAGACTGATACAGAAAAGTCTGTTTGATCACTAGTATATTCATTATGAATTATGAATTATGAGAGAGAGAGAGAGAGAGAGAGAGAGAGAGAGAGAGAGAGAGAGAGAGAAAGAGAGAGAGAGAGAGAAACAGTGAGAAGGAAAGAGTAATAAGAATATACACAAAGATGACACGTCCCCTCCTGTACCTTTTCTAATCGGTAGCCTTGTCCATTCGAATTGTATGTCTATCCACTTTGTAAGACCTATACTCCAACCAATGACACCAGCACCCCCCCCCCAACCCCCTCTCCATCGCAGGGTCAGTGCTACGTCATAGTCTCCATTCCTATGGCAAAGGTGGCAAGGCCTTTTCGATATACATCAGTATAGATATAATGACTGCTATGATAGGCATCGTTGTTTTCTATAGGCTCAATACATCCTCCTATAACCCCTCGATTTGCCGCTCGTCCCCGAGAACCAGTATAGAGAAACACCTATGCTTCGTATATTAAAGCAGTCCATATATCTTTTATATACCGAATTCGCAAACAAATCTACAAAGAATTCTTACCTTATCCTTTTCTTGAGTAAAGACTGGTTAAAATATCACAGCAAATCTGAGACACTGTCTGTAAATCTTCGCTGGAAGTTGCCTGAATGTATCATTCCGGAATCGCAGACAAAAAACACTGTATGGTATCCGCGCTCGCACAAAGAAACTTTTTACACGTAAACCAATGGGGATCTCAGCAAAATTTATTTATGCGGCCCGTCACCCGGGGCAACAGGCATCTTAAAAAAAAACTATTGACCGATAGGCGGGCAGCGTCTTTTTTTCCGTAAGGTAGCCATCCTGTCGCTGTGTTTTATTGGCTCAACCTCTACGTCACGGGCTAGTCGTCAATATTCATGATACGCACGCACACAGAATCTGATGCGATAATTTATCAATATGAGATTTCATACAAAAATTACAAATACAAAGCTAAGTTTACTTTAAATAAGTGACAAATGACTACCAAGGTCGTAACTTGTCCATAATCATTGCGACATGCTAGTTAATTTAGTCCAGAATCTGGCCGATTAAATTTTGAATTTGATCTCTACCTCGCCGTACCAACGCAAATATTCATATATTCAAATATTAATATGCATTCTAGGATGGCTACCTTACGAGAAGAAAAAAAAAGCAGGCGGGCATGGCTCAAATCACGACTCCAATTTCGACCAATCAGATTGCTAGATTTCTAAAGAGAGGTATATAATTTGTTACACGTTCTAACCTTGAAACCATTTTCTTTTGTTTTACTAGCTCCACTAGTCTGTAGACTCCTGCGATAATTGCGACGAAAATGGCGACGCTCTGTACAAATAGAAAAAAGTAGATACTATCTACTTATTAGGTGTAAAAGAGTTACAATGAACGAATATTTCATTTTTTTGGCACTTCATAGTTATTTTCCTTAGCAAATACTGTTAAAGAACATGACTGCTAAAGAAATATCACACAAGCCGTCATTTTGGGGTCTCAGACTCTCAATACAGGGTAAGTTTCGTTTTGAGTTAATTTCTATCTATTTCTATCTTGATTTAATAGTGGTTCCCCCTCCCCAAAGTTAAACTCAGTGATACACACTGCTCTACATGTTCTCTCTTATAAGTCTAAAAGGTGCCTCCATCTGTTGGCATCCCTACAAACCTGTCACCAAAATGTAACAACAGCAACAACATCAAAAATAAGAAAAACAAACATACACACACAAACAAAATGCGTTGAAAAACGCCCCCCCCCCCACACACACACACTTTGTTTCAGCGATGCCCCTATCTACACCGGCTCTACTTCATGCAGGATGCGCCTCTAGGGGCACTTTTCTTATAAACACCAAATTTGGACTACTCACGTTCATACCAATGACGAAATTACAGTTTGATACATCGTTGAGTTTGATAAACCAGCCGGTGAATGTCGGATAAAGGGGGCAGCCCCCGTCAAAATCAGCCTAAAAGAGAACACAAAGATTTTTTTAAAGTTGCACATGTCTCAATGTTCTTTGGTAACAAATTCTTACATTATTTTGTCAGAAGTGTTATGTTTCAAACAAATTTTGATACGCATTTTCTCAACAAAAAATTGTACTTTTAGGGGGTCTCTTCTTTTCAATCGCCCTCTGCTTCTTTCAACTGTCCCTGGACAAAACATATCGTGCATGTACAATAATGAAGATAAAAGATGTTAAAGTAATACAAAATATCATGCAGAAGTAAATGAAAGAAGTATAGAAAGGATTAAGGATGAATTGAAATGGCGCTACAATAATGAATAACCATTTAAGGGTCGCGTATTTATCTTGAGAGGCGCATTATTCTGCAATGAGTAAACCTACTATCATGATCTGCATGGTTCCACTTCCAAATTCTGTTTTACCAGTTTGTCCCATTGCCATAAAGGCATTAGGTCGATTTGCTAATTGCCTTTAATGGTCTTCTTTTATTTGATAAAGAAATTATTTTATGACACAAGTTTTCGGTTTGGAGCATCAAAGAATATTCAGATAATTACCCCATTATATTTCGTCACCAGATTTGTCTTTTTGGAGACACCTAATGCACTTTGATCAGTAAATAACAATTTGTATAAAACTCATTATCGTTAATCGTGTAGCATAATTGTCGCGTTTATTTACAAGAGAAGCTTTTGACTTTGATACCTGGTATGCCTACAAATAAAACTACATGTTTAGATGAAAACAATATTCGCGTATTTTAGCGCACATAATGCACATATTCTTGAAATTTTGTGAATAATTTTAGGCGGGAAAATGTTGGCACTTAAAAGTTACAACTGTCTTTATACTGTAAACAAACACAGAGAAAAACGTATCTAGGCCTTTACACGGATAAAGGATTCAAGATTGGTTTCCATGGTGATGCTACATGATGCAACAATTTTTACGCTCGGCTCCAACAAATTCAGAACATTTTCTTTAACTTGAATCATTATGTTGTAGCTTTGATCCAAGCGTGTATACTTAGGTTAATAGAGCACATCATTTATTTCTAAATGATAAAACATAACATGAAAATCATTATGGCATTCACTACTCCCATGACATGATATACTACTACTATTTCTACAACTACTAATACACCTCCTCCTCCTCCTCCTCCTACTTCTACTACTACTAATACTTGTACTTAACCATCACCACCACCACCACCACCACCACCACCACCACCACCACCACTACTACTATACTACTACTACTACTACTACTACTACTACTACTACTACTACTACTACTACTAATACTACTACTACTACTACTACTACTACTACTACTACTACTACTACTACTACTACTATTACTAATACTACTACTACTACTACTACTACTACTACTACTATTACTATTACTACCACCACTAATACTTCTAATATTAACACTACTATACTTCCTCTAATAATACTACTACTAGCCTACGTCTATTAATGACACTACTGCTACTGCTGCTACATATACTACTACTTGTACTACTACTACTACTTCTAATAATAATAATAGTAATAATAATAATTCTACTATTGCTACTCCTACTAACTCTAGTACTAGTATTACTTCTTCTGATACTACTGCTACTACTGCCGCTGTTACTGCTGCTGCTGCCGCCGCTACTACTACTGCGATCACCATTCATGTCTATATTTTTCTTATCAGAAAATATAGCTTACCTTTAACAATCCCATGACGGTGGCGACTGCGATGGACAAGCCTACGATCGCAACAAGGGCCGTAATTTCGAGGCCATAGACAATGACGCGAAAAAGCCCCATCGTGGTCGACGATCACGCACAATAATGTACCGAAGTTTTCAATGATTCACGGGTCGAGACCTCTCTATCAAACACTCTGCTTCTAAATAAATTTAAATATATATCATCAAGCCAATTTTGCTATGTAGTTTCTAAAAATTTAAATAAATTTCGACTAGCAGAAAATTATCTCAAAAGACTCCGCCCACCCGCACATTGTTTATAGCAATGAAGTCAGCTTACAAAATAGAAACTGATATTCATGTGTGAATATTGTTTGCGTGCAGGAATGACTAATATAAAGTCTGAAATAAGTTAAAAAGTTAATATTCAACCAAACTTAAACAAACACGTGCGTCGAGACGAGAACCGTGTCTCTATAGACTAAGGTCGCATATTAGTATTTCAAAATCAAAGTGTTATAAATAGAAATATTTCTTAAAGACCCACATCATATCAACTAAAAATATATAAACAGAATATGAAATATTAAAGTAATAAAATGTTATATCTTGGTTATTAGAATTATATTATTATCCTGCCCTTAATAACGAGTTTTTACACTGACGACAAGAAAATAATAATGCGCATTTGGCAATGGTGTAGCGCGCGTTCACGTATCTAGAGGTGCTCAGATCTTCACTCCCGAATTAACAAGGCCACTGATTAGGAGAAGGGGTATCAAGGGGGGGGGGGGTCATTTGTCGTCTTCTTTTAACTTTCGTTTTTATTATAATTCCTATATCTCTAGTTTCATTTCCCTCTGTCTTTTTTGTATGCATTTCCTATTTATTTTTTTACTCGGCATGCCATGGTGGCTGGGGGGGGGGGGGGGTGTCTGGCCTCGTGCCCCGTATCGCTACGTCACTTACATTCAGAGTGTAGGTACTAAAAATAAAAGTCTTCATTATTATTTTCGTTGAAAACACAAACGATCTGCATACATTCATACCAAAGGAAAATAAAGCAAATGACACTGCATGAGATATTATTTACAATGACACTTTATAAAAAAATGATGCAGTATTTTTCTTTTAAGAATTCATTGGAATTGAAATTGAAATTTTATTGCAATTAAAGACGTTTTCTCCGAATAAATGTATGGGATTGAAAGAAATTAATTGAAATACACACGTAAGAACAATTAGCTGAATAAGTGATAAAGACCTTTCAATTTGTTTTGGCATATATTTTCTCAAACACCATATATCATGCACATTTTAAACAACACTCTAGAATATTTCATTTTACCCTGTATATTGAAAAAGTAAAGAATATCGGGCATATTATGAGAAGAGGAGGTGCAGAAGACAGAATACTGACAGGAAAATTAAGGAGAAGAAAAGCGGAGGGAGACAGCGCATCAAATACATGGATAAGTTCATTGGGCTGACTGGTAACAGAAGTAACGTCACATTACAAAGAACCTGAGATAGAAATAGATGGAAAGCCTTGATCGTCAATGTCTGGAACAGACACACCTAGCAAGCAAGCAAATTGAAAATAACAGAAAATAGGCTTAATATAGATTGATATATTTAAAGGCAGAAGGCACATAAAATACTATTACATATATTTTAAACTGGAAAGATATAGTTTTTCTTTAACTGAAAACGATAGTCAACAACTTATTATAATTCCGAATATCACTATACCATAAGCATATAAGCCGAGTATTTGAAAACCACAGGTAAGTTCCATAAATTCCATTATTAACAAAATGTTAAATATATGAAGCAAAGTAAAATCTGTTAATTTTAACGAATTGAAAACATATTTCTATTCATCAAAACCAATCCATCAAATTTAAATTTTCAATTCGTATGGGATATAAACATGTACATATACTTATAATTACACATCTTAATGTATGTTTAGAAATAAGCATAAATGCAAGTATAGGTGATACTTGATTCAGATATAATTATGAAAGAATAAAAAGTTGATTCTCTAGCTAAAAATCATTCTAACTGTATACATTGCATTTCAAGATCTTCATATCTTTGTGACTATCTTATGACATTGCTATTATGGCTCTTTGTAATGTATTCACGAGTCACTGTGTTATACTGTCATAATTGTCATAATGGTGATGATCAATTGAATCAATAATTAATAATCGACGACAGAACAGAAATCTGACTGGCATTTTGAGTGATCTCAACGTGAGAATGAATGACCTGTAACAATTCCGCACGGCAAATTCGTCAAAAAACGTCACCAAATATGTCAAGAAAACTATATAATATCTGACGTCAAGAGATAATCCCAGTAGGCTTACATCCCACGAGACCGACAAAATATCGAAATACTTCCAAAAAGTAAAGGAAAGAAGAGTGTACCAAAAGGTCTAAGAGACCGACAGCATACGAGACAGACAACACACACTCGAGACCAGCAAAGGGAAGATAGAAGAATATCGGTCTCGAAGGCAGTTGTTCTTGCGGGCTGTCGGCCTGACAGCCCTCAAAAAAGTTGTTAGAACGCCTACGAGAGCAACATTCTTGGTCTAGTTTGCTGTTCGTCTCGTGGGCCGTCAGTGTAGTATCCTGTCGGTCTAATGGGTGTTCGGTCTCGCGGGCCATCACATCTGTCATTAATGCTGGGTGTCGAAGACAATTATGTCACCGTGCTGTTAGCCCAGGCAGGGAAGGTTTTGACATCAAAGACCCAGACACCCAAAGTATTGAGACTGAGGTTCGATACAAAGATGCATGCGATGTTCATCACGATGCCAGCCTTGACCTGTAAGTTCAAAGACAGATTAATTTGCTCAGAATTAGTTCAAGATCTGGGTTGTCGCTAGAAAGGGGCACAAGAAGGATTATGAACTCCACTTCAACAAATTTGTCAGAATCTATTTTAGGATTTGTAAAGACTTTGTCGGAAAGTCGCAAAAATTCATGAATACAAGTATTACTTGTAAATAAAAGCGTATGCACGATCGTAAAAGCCTTCGAAAAATAAACTCGATGGCGATTTCTATACCTTATTGTATTGCCCCCATAAAGGTCGTGGTCGCATTACGTATTATGTCATTGCAATGTTCGCACATTTCAAAAGATGGACCATGTTATTGAAAGTCCCTTAGCTTGAGTCTTCGAAGGTCTGCGAAATACTTAAAAACTAAAATCCTCTCTTTTCTGACACATAGCATAATGCTTCAGATTATCTCTCCCCACTGACCCGGGAATATCCTAAATTTCACTCTCGATTCAAAGTAACCCAAACAATGCTCCAGACCTACCATATCAAATACTGAAAGGTTGCCATGGGCGAAGGCTATGGCGTTAGGCGGTGTGGCTACGGGAAGCATAAAGGCGAAGGAGCACGCGATAGCTGCCGGGAGCATCAGATAGAGAGGGTTGAGTCCGATGCTCTTGCTCTGATCATGAGGGAAGGCAGATGACAAAAGAAATATATACCAAATTAATAAATAATGATATGATGATAGCATTTAAGATTCATGAGGCACCGAGTTCACTTGAAATAGATTGCTCAATGCGCACTAGTGCAAAATATGAAATCACAATAAGAGCGTCTGCAATGGACACACACAACAAACAACAGGATTAAGTTTGAACATACACAAATGAAAGAGATTCGAGCACATTTTATGCAAATTGTTATCACTAAGTAACGCTAAGAATTTTATCTTGGACTGGTGTTCCATAAACTGCTAAACAAAGTCATAAATGGACGAGTCACAAACATTTTCGTTCCAATATTATGTTACCAACATCATCTACCTGTCGATTCTGTCAAGTTGCTAGTCCTACTAAGTGCACCAGACCAAAATAGTACGAAGGTAAATGACACTTATTCTAGCAATGTTTTCATTTGTTTAGTTATCTGCACTCTTTGTATCGTGTGAGATAGTACATTAACAAATATATTGGATTTGTTTTAAAAGACCCTTGCTTGACTCGATTGAAGGACATGTAAGAAATTATAGTCCTTAAGGTTGGTGGTATATCAGCTACTATGAAAAGGCACATACTGTACTACTCTAAGATCAGAAATGGTTTAGTTTGTGATAGACGTTCAGCGAATAATGTTTTTACATTATGTAAATGCCTTTTTTAAAAACCATTATCTACATTTTTTCCGGGAAATTGGTTGAGAATATACATTTTTAAAATTATTTCTATATAAATTCATTGCGTTGGTTTTGTTCGTGGTGGACGTTCAGCGAAAACATACTTTTACATCATCTATTTTTTTTTTAAATCTGCAATTGTTTGCTAGGTAGTGATATATTTGCATTTGAGTTGGCTGTATACAGTATTCTGTGTTTTTCCCCCACTTACTTAACATATACTTGAATTTTGAGAATTTTAATTCTGGTAGCTGGGTATTTGTCTTACCAATTCAGCAAAGATAGGTAGGAAGATGGTAGCGGTGGCCGTATTGCTGGTAACCTCCGTAAAAGTAGCCACGACAGTCGAGATGATAATGGCCAGGGCTGCAGGTGGGAGTGCAGAGAACACCGAAAACTGGGCCCCCAACCAGGCGGAGAGACCCGAAACCTTTCGAAAACGACAATGTTCAACATTTTTAATAATGTTTTTTAACGATTTTTAAGTACAGGTAATTGAATCTATGCAATGTTTAACTAATCGTTTCATAAAATACCATTTTCAATTTACACTGTCGGTCATAATGGTGGAATAATTTTAATAATAAGCGATAGCCTCGTGAGCTCGTGAACTGTGAGCCCCCAGGATCAAAACCGCGTCGATGTGCTAAATTAGTGCCCTTTTATGGGGCATTAATCCTCATTACTGTCAGTTATGGCTTAATGACGTAGGTCCCCTAGTTGATTAGCACAGTAACATACACATGCTTTAGCAGTTACGCAAAACAAACACTCGCAAATCATTGTTCAATAAAATCTGAGAATGTATACTATTATCTAGATCTATTAGGAATAAATCATTGTCAAAATCATTCCATAAATTGGGATAAAAATATTTATTCCACCATTATGACCAATAGTGTATTATCGTTCTGACGATAATTTATTGATTATGACGAGTTTTCAAGTCCATTGTAATTTTGTTTTCTCCTTCTTCTGATATAATAATATCCAGGAGTTCGCAGTTGAAGAAAATGGAATCCCTCCTAGAAATATACAAAGTCATTTCCTTATTAAATGAATCTGAGTAGAGCTACCCGCCCTTTTTAAAGGCAGGATATTTCACCGGCATCGCTACTTTAATGTATTTTCAATTGCGCTATCTTTCGGTGAAGGCGTACATAGAGCGACTTCTGGTTCCTGTACCCAAACATCACCACGCACGCGTCATGCAGTTGGTGATGCGTTGTGGGAGATGGCTGTCGACACATCGGGACATTGTGAGCAGCAGGTGGCAGTATATACGTAAATCTGAAGTAGTGAGAGTAGAATACCCTGCCTTTGAAATTCTTTTGTTTCTATATTAGTGTATATTATGTGCATGTATTTGAATTTTAATAGAAAAAATAAAACCTAACCAATATAACCCTCGCCTATCATTCCCTTTGATACCCATCGACCACAATGCACTTCGTTTACCTTACAGCCATCAGCTAGGGCCGACCCACCGCCAAGGAGAATAATGACACTCCACGCCATCTTCTCATGTATGACAGACCACGTGAGCAAGGTTGGAATCTTGGCTGGTTTCTTATCTTCTGATCCATCATCATCATCTACAGGAATAGACAGAAATTCAGTCAAGTCACATTCGGATTTGAATCAGCACAACTACCACCACTGGGCAACTACAATCCCTTTCCCCGGATTGTCTCATCAAACAAGTGCCATATCCACCCCCGGAAACAAGTCCCGGACAACTATAGCCATCCCCCACATACTACCAGCAGCGGTCAACTACCATCCCGCCCCGGACTGCCACCCAGGCAACTACTTTCACGTCCCCAGACCACCACTCCCGGAAAACTACCATGCCGTCCCTAGACTTCCAGCCCCGGACAATTACAACCCCTCCCAAGAAATAAAATTATCCCCAGAGAACTATCATCCATATCGCTAGACTGCCATCCCGCTCACTTACTGATCGTCTGCAAACAGGGTCAAGAAATGTTATCACCCCTGCTCTTTCTCTTTTATGTTCTCTCTCTCTCTCTCTCTCTCTCTCGCCCTCCTCCTCCTCCCTCCCCTCCTCTTTCTCCCTCCCTTTCTTGTTTTGTGATTCGATCGGATGGGGTGCTTCGCCATAGGCTTCAAGAATGAGAATGATTCATGGTAGCATGTAATGTTGTATTAATTAATCAATCAGTCAATTAATTAATTAATTATTTGATTGATTAAACAATCAGTTAGTTAATCAACTAATTTATTTATGAACTAATTAATCAATTAATAATGATAATAATGATCATACTAATATTAAATCTTTTCTATATAGGGCCTTACAAGATCCAGCGCCAACCGACCAATGCACTTATAGTATTATCATAGTATACCCCGGTCACTGGATTCAGATACTAATAGAGTCCATATTCTCCGCTCCTCTGGGGATCATTCCTGGTCGCCTGTTTACAAGCACGCACATGTTAATCCCGGTATGATCATGTTAATTAATTAGGTTCACTCGTAACTTTTAAACAACCATTTTACCTATGTTAAGCTCGAATTTGTACCATATCAACACGACCACCTGTAATACGTGTTAAAAGTGTCTCCATTGTGACAGGGGTACTTGCCTTGCTTTCTTCGACACAAGAATGAGGGCAGCCTTGATGGGAAGGCAAAGAGTAGCAGAGAGATGAATATAACCGAGGTAGCGTCCGTCACGTACCTGTCATGATTATGAAGAGAGACATTTATACCAGTTACCATGACAACCGACAATCTACCAGAATTTCATGATATAGGTTTTGTCAAGGCAAACCTATACATATTGGATTATTTTGTCTTATTTAAGTATGAGATCGCGAGCACTTTTGAAGAGTAAACCTAAGAGATCAATAGCCTTGTCCATCACCTTGTGGAATGTGCGAAGATTACAAAGACCTAAATGTAACTTGAACATAATTTTTCGGAAGATTAGGGTACTGAAATATCCCTTGAGTTGTTTACTCGAAAGTTTTTGCGATCGTTTTGATATCACATTGACATCATCCCTCATAAAATGTAAATAAATGATCATCTTAAATCATCCATCAAATTGATTTGTGACTGATGAATATATATATATATATGTAGCATGCTCCTGCATTACCATGTACATTGCATTTAATGAACATTATGTTACCAGGGCGATGGTGATTAAAAGCGCGAACCAAACATATGCCCATTTTTTTTTTTCTTTACAAATAATCATCCTGGCTTTTAAACTCGAAACAATCATTCAAATGATTTCCATCTACTTGGTTTTCAATTAGCAAAACACCTTTATGTACATGCAAATGATATAGTTATGAGACTACATCTCTTTTCCCCCAAAATAAAGCCCGAGATTCGAACCAATGACATGTTGATCTGTGAGGTTCTACCTTACCCATTCTTGAAGCCTACAGACCAGCCACTGACGAACTTGGGATCTCTCGTCAACCACAGACTGACCAGGACTACAAAATGTCCCAGAATAGCCCATTCAGCAAAGCTAGACAAAAAAAGAAAACAAAAATCGTCTTGATATAGTGTAAAACGCTTCCTGAATCCCGTTATACACGAGGCAGTAACCCTAAAATCTTTCTTGGCAAATTCTTTTTTGTTTTTGTTTGGTGAAAAAATTTCAATTAACTTACAGGCAAATTTGGACTAGTGACAACTCTCACTAAAACAAATTCCTTGTCATTTTCTTAAATGAACATGCCTGGCACAAAGTCCACTTCCCGTCAACGATGTTTGCAAAGATTGTTTTGTAAAATAATAGAATATTCGAATAATGTTCTACAGCCAAAATGCCTCTTGAACAAAAACGAGTCCAACTAATTCTGCGTCACTGAAAATAAGAATGATATTTCGAACTACTGAATGGCTACTATTTTTGAGGTAGCATATTTTCATTCATTATTTATTTTATAGGCTTTACGCGTTATGAGTTTAATGAAGGGATACCTACGATATTTTACCAAGAGCAGCGTAACTTCTCCTGATCACCATCTTCGCTCTCTCTTCTTGTGCTACGCCGACACGCTTATCACTCCTCTGAAGACAACTAGAGAGAGAGAGAGAGTGAAAGAGAAAGACCACCAAAGTCATCGTACACATTTGAATACATTCTAAAAACGAAATTTTGATTCATTTGTACATGTATAATAATGCTAATAATAATAATAATGGTTATGATGATGGTGATGGCTAAAAACTACTTACAAGAAATCGAGGTACATGATTTGTAGCCAGACCCAGCAGATGAGGAGACAGATCACCATGCCAGGGAATGCATACATCATCCAGGTTCCAAAGTTTACACCGGCTTCGGGACCAAAGAGTCTGTAAGCAGGAAAGAGAGTTAGTTTTAATAAGACAGTATGCGGTAGAATTTGTTCGATTGGAGCGTTGCCTAAAATGTGTCGAGATCTTTCAAAGATGCAACAGCATCTAAAATAGAGGCATGACTTACGTTTCAACCTGGGTACTGATAACCAGATTGGGACCAGTTCCCGTTAATGTGGCGGTGCCGCCGATGTTGGCTGCATAAGGAATGGAGAGTGTGATACCCTTGCAGAGAAGACGGTAGCCCCGATCAGCTTTGGACTCCTCCTCGAGGAGCAGCGGTGCATTTTTAATCTCCACTGGAAGTGATCCGGGCTCTACAACGCTAGAAAAAAAAGGGAGAAAGAGAAACGAATATAATAATGAAAGGATAGAGAGAGAGATGAAGTGTGCATTGGTATAGCCAAACTTGTCGAACAAAGGGGGGGGGGGGTGTGACACACTAAATCTCAGCGTCCCTCCCAATACCTGAGGTATGGATAGAGTTAGCGAATGAACGGGGGGGGGGGGGTGGCGCCCTTGCTCCTGGCTATGCCCTTGGGAGTGTATGAATAGAGGAAAATGGACAGAGAGAGAGAGAAGCGGAGAAGGGAACAAAAGATGGAGAGAGGAGGGAGGGAAAAGAGAAAAGGGAGGTGAGAAAGTGAAGATATGAAGAGGGAGTGCGAGAGAAAGGGAGAAGAGGGGTAGCGAAAGAGAAATGAGTGGGAAGAGAGAGAGAGCCATGAACAAAAGGTTATCATACATGAAAGAGTGTTATATCCCGAATCGTTTGGTATCATCATGGACCTACTAAGTAGGTCCATGGTTCAGGTAAGGAGGCGGGAGGAAGGAAAAGGAGGTAGGGAGGGAGGGAAGGAAGAAAGAAAGGGTTGGAGAAAGGCAGAAACCAACAGAGAGATAAAGAAATAGAATGGGGGAATAGACACAGAGAAGGGTAGAGAAGCAAACAAAAGCAGGGAAGGTGGTGAGAGGGGGACATAGGAGAAAATGAGTGTTTCGATGATAACAACCATTGTCTTCTTTAATTGATAAAAAACGGGATACCTATAATCTTAATAAATCATGTAAATCGTGGTAACAAAAAGAAATTTTGATTTCGTCCTACTACTCACATGGGATTTCAAAAACATACTTACATGTGACCAGCTGCGATTTCATCGAGTTCGATTGGCTTTTCAGAGCATTGCTCTTCTTTTTCTTCTGAGCCCTATTTCAAAATTTGAAAAGATGAAGAAAAAACATAAAGAAGGTAATCTGAGAACTGTTGTCAAGTGTACAGTATTCGCAATCACATGCGGACAAAGCAGGGCGGAAAGGGCTGCAGGCCCCCTTCCCCAAACATATTAAATTACCAATATTCGGGCAACCGTAACGTCATCATAGAAGCAAGGAGATCCTTTTGTTTTTACATCTTATCTTGTATATTTTTATGGCGACAGTACAGTGTTAGTGTAGCAAAATGCTAAATGTTAGTAACTGTACCTGGCCCTATACTGTTATTTGTGCCAAGAGACGTCAGCCCCCCCCCCCCGGTAAAGTTGTGACCGTGCACCCAAGATCAGAACACTATGGTGGCAATTTACGGCCATTTTCGCAAAAATGTTTAGAGTGAAATGGGAACGTGCCCACTCCCCTCCCTAATCGTGTGGTAAAAAAAAATAATAAAGAAATTTGTATTTTATTGCAATATATTTAATCAGGATAACGAGAATTAGATATACATTGAGATACGAAATCTGTTTTACATCCTGGTCCTGAACAGAATAAAAATGTAATACCCGGAATATAAATAATGAATGATGGGAAGAGAGAGAAAGAGAGACAGAGACAGAGAGAGAGAGAGAGAGAGAGAGAAGGAGGAGGGAGAAGGGGAGGAAGAAGGGGGAAAGAGTTCGAAAATCGAAGCACGGATCACCTCCGCATCATCATAATAAGTAGCCCTCTAAATTCATATTTTCATATTTCGAGTAAAAACGGTACTATACCCTCAATCGTTCAAGTTCCCCTCGGTAGTTGAACTCATGCTACGTCACTTCTTATTCATTACAACTCCTTGTGCAATAGGTGGAAAATTGCTTTTAATTTTTGTTTGCAGTTGATGTTAGGCCAAATAAAAAAATAAAAAAACATGTTTAGCGTCCTGTTTTTTCGAAAAATAGGAAGGAGGAGGCCCTTTTTTTTTTTTCCTTTTAAAATGGCCGCTCAAAATGGCCGTTCGGTACATTTTCCCTGACATTCGGGCTATTTTTCAAGATGGCCGACGTTTTTTTTTTTTTTTTTTTTTTTTTAAATCAGAAATAGATCCATTTTAGGAGTGTTTTTCTCCTTTGAAAAAAAATTCAAAAAACAAAATTCGGAGCTCATTGATTTAGTTTCTCACCGGGCTCGCGTATGCGTTTATGCGCAGGTGTCACAACTATCTCTCTCAAAGCGCTATGTTCATGAGTAGCTACCTTTCAAGGTTTCATCACTTTAATTGAATGAAAGATAATGCAAAAGTTTACCCATATATTTGAACTAGTAATACCTCGCGGTGTCTATCGATAAGCCTTTCATTTTCGGTTTGCTACGATTTGCAAAGTTATTTTTCTAATAAAAAGAAATCCCCAGGGTTTTAGTTTTCTTTCAATCCTATCTCTTCATTGGTATCAATCTTCTCAGATATTGCTGTCGATACATCGTTTTCATTTTACGCGACGATCAATTTTCATGTCTTCTATTTGATGACAACAACAGCCGTTGAAATCAAGTCTATGAGAAAGCGGGGGGGGGGGGGGTGTATAGGTGAGGGTCTTTTTATTTCCCAAAGTTGTTACTCAGAAGACACATCATCGCAGACCCATCACCCATGGCTATTTAATATTGAGTTCAGTCAAAAGATGGGAAATTATTATAGCTTTCTCATTATTTTTCATGTCAGTTTGGAAGAACATCATAATTGAAATGTTCCCCAAGAGGGGTTGCTCTTTAAAATGCTCTCATATTCGAAACATGACGAGAAAAAGCTGAAGTGTTTGGGTCCAATATTCATGCAACACGTGGGTGTATAGTGTATAGTCCCATGTGCCCATTTATGTGTGCATTGCATTGTGCTTTTCACTGGGAATTGGTCAATTAGGCCAACTTATCACTTATCATTACTCCAAGCCGTAACAACAGACAGCTGTTCTTTTAATTCACAATAATTATGAAAATTACCCTAATTGTATGTTTTGTAAAGTAAATTATGCATTGTTAATTTTGCATAGAATAAAAAAACAAAATCAACCAACCAATCAATTAATCGCTCAATCCCATGTGCTCGGAAACCAGCTCAACTCAACTTTTTCTTTAAGGAAGAAAAATTGTCAAATCGCTCTTCCTAATGCCCTCTGTGTCTCTGTCTGTCCCTCGATCTCTGCCCCCTCTCTCTCTCTCTGTCTCATTCTCTCTCCCTTGGGTATATTAAGAAAATTGAGCCGAACGCTTCCAAATTCCGTCATCTCTTTTATATGTATATGATGACATGACACGCAATAATCAAATCAAGTTCAGCTCATCTATTATTATTCTTGTAAGAATTTCGGGAAATCCAAAGACATATTATTCTACAGAGGACAATACAACGAAAAAAAGATCAAAGAAGGTATACTTTTTACCCCTGTCAGAACTCAATCCTCTCTTTAAACAAGTATCTGAACACCGTCAATTGAGTCTTCTGTTGGTACACTTTTAAAAGAAGATTTCAACTCATGAGGATGAAAATGAATGTAAGAATCAGAAGCAGAAGAAGAAGAAGTAGAAGAAGAAGAAGAAGAAGAAGAAGAAGAAGAAGAAGGAGGAGATGTCTCATCCGTGTAATTAGGGTATCAATGGCCATAATATTAGATCTAGATCATGATTTAGATGGATTAAAGACAGGCGATATCCCTTAGTTTACATCGCCAAAACCCCCCGATAATCAACATTTCATTTTCTCTTTTTCTTTCCCGTATGTCTGGTTTCGGTGTCGCTAGTATAAGTGGGGTATAAAATCGTCACATTTCTAGATCGTGAAGGGGAAGACTGCCGATATACCTTAGTTTACATGCATATAATTATTACCCTTATACAAAACATGAATGTCTGCAGACTATGTTTTTTTTTTAGTATTCCTACAAGTTCAAAGTCCATTTTCAATGTCTATTTATTTTGTATTATTTTATTGTCTGCTTTTCGGAATGACGTGTCTATTAAGACTCTTTGATAAATCATGTTAATGGTCCTTATTTTGTTTCTGCGTCTATTCCCTTTTCATATTCTCTGTCTCATACTTTTATTCTCTCCCTCCATTCCTCTCCTTTATTCTCTCTTTCTCTGTTTTCGCTCTTCTTTCTCGTTATAATGCAATTGCCATTCTTTCGATATTATGATCCAAAAGAAATATACAGAAAGAAAGTATACGCCACTGACTAAATAGCAATCCTCGGTGACAATCATCTTGTTAAAAGGACGAGTGTATGGAAGTTGATACGAAAAAGGGAAGAAAGCGAGAGAGAGAGAGAGAGAGAGAGAGTGAGGTGCGCGAGAGACAGAATAAGAGGGAGAGAGACAAAGAGAGAGAGAATGAGAGAGAGAGAGAGAGAGAGAGACATAATAAGAGGGAGAGAGGCAAAGAGAGAATGAGAGAGAGAGAGAGAGAGAGAGAGAGAGAAGAACATTGATATTGATATTCATGCAATACAGTCAGTGTAATTGCCATGCCGATAAAATGACAAATAACAAGAATAAATGACCATGTTCAAAGCAATAATAATAATAATATGCATGCATAACTACACATCGTTGGCTAACATCGATAGACCTTTGCATTAAAAAAGGTGAATGAGGAATGAAGAGAAAAAGAATAAATGAAATTAAAAAAAAAAAATTGTGCAATATCTTGAAAATGCATGCTTTCCAGGAGTCCAGTAGCAGATTTCCATCAAAGTAAAACGACAAAACCCGTTACTGACCTTATACATTGGACTTCCATTTTCGTCATTTTTGTCGACATCACCGCCTGTCTCCTCATCGTTTTCGCTAGACTTGAGTTCGTCGAGGACAGCCTGAGAGATGGGGATCATCATCGCGGTCGTCGCCGTGTTGCTCATCCACATGGATAAGAAAGCCGTGGTCGACATAAACCCGAACATCAACCTGGAAAGAGACGATCTCGTGGTTGACTCATTGTATGGATTGAAAAATCAAGCAACGGTCAACAGGGAAGCATCGAGACCGTTGCTTGCTCTCGGGGCGTGATTTGCCAGACGTAGTAGTACATGGGGAGTTGAAAGTGTTCTTAATTTTTTTTTTGTAGAATCTGATTTTGTGTGCTCTTTCTATTATATAGGAGGGGGAGGGGCTGATGAGGTTCCATGACACATGCTCCGCCGACGATTGCTCCGACGACATTTACTCCGCAAAATGCGATGATTGCTCCGCGACATTTGCTCCGCGACAGTTGCTCCGCCGACAGTTGCTCCGCCGACATTTGCTCCGCCGACAATTGCTCCGCCGACATTTGCTCCGCCGACAATTGCTCCGCCGACAATTGCTCCCCCGACATTTGCTCCGCCGACAATTGCTCCGCAAAACGCGACAATTGCTCCGATGACAAATGCTCCTCGAACGACAGTTGCTCCGCCGACAATTGCTCCGCCGACAATTGCTCCGGTGACATTTGCTCTGCCGACGCGACACTTGCTCCGGTGACACCGACAATTGCTCCGCCGACATTTGCTCTGCTAAAAAAGTGCCCCGTAAAATACAAAGGCTACTACGACAATAATTGTTGCTCCTCCCCAAAAGTACCCCGCAAAAGACAATGCTCCACCGACAATTAAATTGCTCTCTGATCCAAAAGTGCGGCCTCGTGGAAGACATGAATGCTCCTCTGGCAATTAGTGCAATAAATGCTCAGCCGTTTTTTGTTATTCCCCATAATGTTTGATTTAAAAAACATCAAGTTTTAGCTCCTTATGCAAGTTCTCCGGCGAAAGATAATTACTACGCTCAAAATCTGTTTCATTTATTACTCATTAGCCGATCAAAAGCTCAAGGCTATCTCTCTCTCTCTCTCTCTCTTGCCCTTCCTTTTCCTTTTTACACCCTTTACTTGTCTTCTTAGTTCTTTACTTTCCTCTCAAGCTATTAGTCTTCTTTTATTTCTCTCGTGAAATTGTAACGTAATGTAGTACATGTAGTACATTCTTGTTTAGAATAGTATTTTCAATAATAATATCCAGTCCGTTTTCTGTAGGTTTCTTTCCTTCAGTTAAGTGTATGTAGCTTTACTATATATATATATATATATATATATATATATATATATAAAGATCTGACATTTGGGAGACATTCCGGTGTTATTATACCTACTTATAGGAGACACCCAGATTAGGGAGACATTTTCGTGTCTCCTTTACGTTTCAACACCCCATACATGCAGTTTTACAAGGAACGGTGTCCAAAATGCTTCATGAATATTCATGTTAACATTGTAGCTCAATGTTCGCACCGTCCATTTGATACAAGGGTACATCAACTTAAAATAGAAACCCTTTCAAATATGGGGGTGTATACTCGGCGTTGATATAACAGTGCATTTGAGAGACACAAAGTTTATGGGATATATCTCGCTTTCTCAATCGTATATGTGTGGGATATTCATTTCTAAGATCAGATGTGATTCTAACAACGTAATAATGTGCATCTTGCTCATTATTTTTTTAAAGAAAAATATATATCCGTTATGGTGTGAAAAGCACCCTCTTTTTTAAGGTAGTTTATTCCAATGCGATATCGCGATCTTCGCACATGCGCAGTAATATATACATATATTTGCCGATAAAATTGTCTCCCTTGCACCGTAATATATAGCAAAAGGTGTCTCCTAACTACACCGCTACACAGCAGATCAAGATGTTACTAGGACCTCCACGAATGTAGCCCAGGCGTTGCCGCCCAAGCTTCCCGCGCCGGTACGGTACGGTATGCAGGCTATAGCAGCATGCAAGTCGGGACGGTTGTCTGAACTTCAGGTAGGCCTATAGGGTCTATATGTGGATATTTTATTCTTTTCTGTTAATCATATTCATAGACTACTTCTATTACCGTACTACTATGGGGCTGAGACACTCATGAGAGTGGTAGCCAATTGACTTTAGAGTAGAAAAGTCTAGACTAGATCCACTCCAGCAAAGCATAGAGAGTCGACCCTGTGTGATTCTCATACTAGATCTAGTACGTCTTGGGCCTTGGCTTGGCAAAAAAAAATTCTCCAATTTAGAGGTCTAACAGTTAGAATCTAGAAGTAGAAGAGTCTAGTACTAGACTCTACTAGAGTCTATACTAGACCCTACTAGACCTAGTCTAGATAGATCTAGTATCAAGTATCATCTAGACCTAGGTCTAGATCTAAGTTAGATCTACTACTAGATCTAGGCTAGTAGTAGTACCGCCTAGATCTATCCGGGGCGGGGGTGGGTAGAGTCTACTCAAATTATTTGTTGTTGGGGGTGTGCCGCAGTCAGGGGCGTCGCTAGACCTTTTTCAGTGGGGGGGGGGGGGGGGGGGGGTGTAAGTTAGAGACCACCGATTACCGACAAAACTAGCCACCAATTACCGACAAAATGTAATAATGTCCCTGTGTCTACAAATTTAACCCTATCAATACTAGTATCAACCCGGGGCCGAAGGCTAAATTATTTTTTCTATGAACTAGATCTAGATCTAGATCTAGTCTATCTAGAATCTAGATCTATAGTAGATCTAGATCTACTTGCGTATGCGCAAATTGTCATTTTCCTTGACATAAATATAAGAATTATTTCGTTAACTTAGTCAGTATCATAGCTAGATCTAGACTATATATTTAAATGCAGGCGCGTAGATCTAGTTTGGATCCTATTTTAGGGGGAGGGGGTAGTGAGAAGCGAATCACTTAAAGAGCGCGCAAAGGGCCCTCCCGCGCGAAGCTTTGACGTTTCATTGAATTATGAGAGAAGCAGACGATTAGTTGTAGTGTTCTCGACTCTTAATCCTTATCTGACTTTATAGATTCCACCCTTCCGCGCGAAGCGCGGAAGCTTTGACGTTTCATTGAATTATTATAGAAAGCAGACGCTTCTGTGTAGTATTCTCGAATCTTAATCCTTAATTGTCTGAAATCGGTTTCCCCCAATCGCGCGAAGCGTGGAAGCTTTGACGTTTTATTAAATTATGAGAGAAAGAAGACGATTCGTTGTACTGCTCTCGACTCTAAACCCTTGTATGAATTCAGTTTCCCCCCTCCCGCGAAGCGCGGAAGCTTAGACGTTTCATTAAATTATGAGAGAAAGCGATTCTTGGTACTGTTCTCGTCTCTTAATCCTTATCTGAATGAAGATTCCACCCTTCCACGCGAAGCGCGGAAAATTTCATGTTTCATTAAATTATTATAGAAAGCAGACGCTTCTGTGTAGTATTCTTGACTCTTAATCCTTAATTGTCTGAATTCAGTTTCCCCCAATCGCGCGAAACGCGGAAGCTTTGACGCAGGGAATAATTTTCCTGGTATCGCATCGCAATTTGCTATGCATTTTGCATGACTGCTATACAAAATATCTTTGTGTAGCAGTTTTCTTCCATAGAAATGTACAGAATATCATTTGAAATATTATCCATCGCCTGAAATTGCTAATCAAAAAATTGAGGAAAATTATTCCCTGTGACGTTTCCTTAAATTATTAGAAAAAGCAGACGATCTGTTCTACTGTTCTCGACTCTTAATCCTTGTCTGAATGAAGTTTCCCCCTCCCGCGAAGCGCGGAAGCTTAGACGTTTCATTAAATTTGTAGTATTTATTATTAGACAATGAAGACAATTCGTTGTACCGTTTTCGATTCTTAATCAGCCCTAATTGTCCGCATCCAGATTTCCTCTATCGCGCTTCGCGCGAAAGCTTTGGAGTTTCATTAACATATTAGAGAAAAAGGACGATTCGTTGTACCGTTCTTGACTCCTAATCTTTGTCTGAATTCAGTTTACCCCCTCCCGCGCGGAAGTTTTGACGTTTTATTAAACTATTAGAGATAGAAGACGATTCGTCGTAACGTTCTCGACTCTTAATCCTTGTCTGAATGAAGATTCCACCCTTCCACGCAAAGCGTGGAAAATTTCATGTTTCATTAAATTATTATAGAAAGCAGACGATTCAGTGTAGTATTCTTGACTCTTAATCCTTAATTGTCTGAATTCAGTTTCCCCCAATCGCGCAAAGCGCGGAAGCTTTGACGTTTTATTAAACTATTAGAGATAGAAGACGATTCGTCGTAACGTTCTCGACTCTTAATCCTTGTCTGAATGAAGTTTCCCCCTCTCGCGCGTAGCGCGAAAGCTTTAGCGTTTCATTAACATATTAGAAAAAAAGGACGATTCGTTGTACCGTTCTTGACTCCTAATCCTTGTCTGAATTCAGTTTTTCCCCGCCCGCACTTGCGGAAGTTTTGACGTTTTCTTTTCGGCGTTTCATCACAATATAGAGAAAGTAGACGATTCGTCGTACCGTTCTCGACTCTTAATTCTTATCTAAATAATGTTCCGCGCAAAGCGCGAAAGCTTTGACGTTTCATTAACATTTTAGAGAAAAAGGACGATTCGTTGTACCGTTCTTGACTCTAATCCTTGTTTGAATTTAGTTTACCCGAAACTTTTAAACCTCTGATTTCTTTAGCTGATATTATAGGAAAGTCAAACTTCTAGAAAGTACAAGTATTATAGTTGTAGTCTCTCTCGATGTCGTCACCGTTAGTAGGGGGAAAAAAATTGTCGGCCAACCGACATTATACATCTCGCCGACTTCAAATTCCTGCATTTATATAGTACCCGAGGATCGAGCAAGAATACCGACACGGCTGACCCGACACAGCAATTTATTTATGCGTGTCTTTCTTGCTCCCTCGACGAGACGACTCCACCCAACAACCCCCCCTCCCCCTCTCTCAGGCTCTTACCTCCCCTTGTTTCCTTTTTCTCTTTTTTTCTTCCTTTTCTCCTTTTCTTTCTTTTCTCTTTTCTTTTCTTTCCTCTCTTCCCTCTTTTTCTTTTTCTCTTCTCTTAATTTCCTTTCCTCTCCTTTTTTCCTTTCTTTTCCTTTCTTTCCTTTCTTTTCCTTTTCTTTCTTTCTTTTCTTTCCCTTTCCCTCTCTTTTTTCCCCTCCCCCTTTTCTTTGTTTTCCCGACGGCAGCGCAATTTCGCACCCCCCACACCCACCCCCCCCCCCCTTTGGCGACGCCCCTGGCCGCAGTCAGCTCAAATTAAGCTAGTAGGGTCTACTCAGCTAGTTTAGTAGAGTCTAGGGCTAATTGGCCCTCCCCTGAGTAAAGGATAGGGCTTAGCCTTGCTATAGCCTAGGGGGCAACAAGTTGAGTGAAAAATAGGGTCTTGAGAACGGGTCATGGCAAGAGTTCCATATAGAGTCTAGTCCTAGTAGGCCTACTCCTAGATCTAGATCTACCCCCCCCCCCCACCCCCCCCCCCCCCCCCCCCCCCCCCCCCCCCCCCCCCCGCTGAAAAAAATTAACGACTGATAGAATCTACTTAGTTAGACTAGACCTATGTCTAGACTATGATAGAATTTTAAATTACTGGAAGTCCACCTGAGTCCGCGTTGCCCTAACCCTAACGCTAGGACAGAAATACTGGACGAAATAGCTTTAACATTAATGGATACAACATTAAATATTACATAACACATTGTGTTATTCTTCAAGTTCAACATCCAAAAAAATCAAATAAATTATTATCAAGTTCTTTTCTCATGTTTTAGTAGGGGGTATAAATATGGAACTCTTGTCTGGGTCAGAATTCGACCATCATGTCATGAATTGACCGCGCTTGTTGCGTGTGTACATGTATGTGTCTATGAGCGCCGCTCAGCGGCTATGTACAGCGCTCATGCATTGGCTGTTCTGGGCAAAAATCCGGCCCGCACTGTTCGGATGCCATATGGTTTGGGAACTGGGAGTTTGCCGCATAGCGGCAAGAGAGAAGGGGGGAAATAATTTTGTAACCCTTGAGAGCGGCAACCGGCCCGGCCTGGCCGAGCGGCCCTCATTAAAAAATTGGCTCTGAAAAAGGGGGTCTTTGTAGCGGCACATACCCGTGTCACCAATATATGCGAGTACATTGGGATTTATCAATCGAATCATGTATTTTGGAGGTGGAAAACTTTCAATTGACGTCAAAGAATTTGAAATTAGGTATTACATAAAGGTAATAATTGAGTTCAAACCCATATAAATTATCATTTGTTCATTTTGGGGGATTTTGTATCATATAGTAATGGGTGACATTCATGGATTTTGAATGCCAATATGCCAGGCGCGGTAAAAAAAAAAATTGTTGCCAATTTGAATGAAATGTAAAAATCCATGTCAAAATTATTAATTGTCACTGTGTGTCAAAATAGAATAGTCAAAGTGGATGATTGATATGATCAGTCTTGCTTCGATATTTAATATAATATCTTGTGCATCTTTCTGGTCTTAGCGGTAATTTTGACATTGGAATCATTGCAAGGTCAAACTTTTTTGTTTTGCATTGTTGTGGGTCAACCTAGATACACGCACCCGCTATTGCTTGCACCTACATGTACAAAGCATGAAGCTTAATTCCTATTCACTGTCGAAGCCTATGTAACGACCCCGGTCCCGGCTTGTACATTTCGATAGCAACCGCTCAAACAAATGCTTAACGCAGGGCAATCAAGTGCTGTTGGATTATATGCGAATGTGTACTGTGCGCGTGCGTGGCCACGCACTGCGCATTCCAACTTCGACAGCGAATATAGAACCATATGTCAAAAAATGCTGATTACAACGATTTACCCTAGACCTCTATAACAAAACAAATTTCTGTTTATTTGTGTTGTTGGCATAGGGTTCTGCGTTGAACTGCTCGCGAAACACCCAACGATGAACATGCAGTATCTGCAGAAACTTTGCATGCTTTTTGGGTTGTCAAAATAATTTTCCTGATTTTTTCATTGGATTGTAGACCATGCAAGACTGGATCTATGACAATTCCATTGAGAAACAAAAATAAGACAGGGAAATTAAGTTCTAGAGGAAGCTTTGTAGGTGCACCGCTATCGCAAGAGATAGCGGGTGCGTGTATCTACATTGTAGGGTCAAACAGTCTTTTTTAACACAATTTTTCTGACACAATATGAAAAATATGTACATGTTTTTATTTTCCTGCAGCAACTACTTGCCCAAGAAGACGAGCGATGTGAGGAGTCGCGGTTGCAGGGCTAGGGCTTTTTTTTTCAAGCATCAAGATCAAGGAAAGAGTCACTGGTAAGTTTCACTGGGTATTCAAAATTTTGTATCCAAGACCAATTCGAGAGATCGACAAGAGCTGTAAGGTATTCTCCGATAGCGGCGCTATATTACTTTGGTTGTGCTGCCTACTTCCAGGACAGGCACGAGTGAATAGCTTTCCTATTGAAATCAGCCAAAATCATGATGCGTCATTATAACGAACGGTTCTAAAACGCTATCGAAAAGTGATTTAAACATTGATTTAAATCAGTTTAAATAAGTGTTTTTGTGAGTATGGGGTTCCGTTGCGGATGAAATGATCAAATTAGCCGGCAAAAATTGAATTCTGTAGGATTTCAGCGTAAAAGACCGGAAGTAGGTAGCACAACCTGAAGCTGGACCCGCTGAGCCAACAGCGCACGTCAACCAATCAGAAACAAGCATTTAATTCATTTAATTTAACGCCCTCTAGCGGCCAAATAGTTATTGTCAATCCCCCAATTTCATCATTCCCAATTAGGCCACTTGTGGTGATGGTGACATACACTAAAATAGATAATGGACCCCTTTTTGGAACTTGATACTTCCCTTACTGGAATGTAATCCCTTCTTCCATAGCGGTGTAACCCTACTAAATTTGATGAATACCATCTGTAGTTTTTCCTATTAAATGCTGTTATAATTCTTGGTTTATATAGGCCTTGTCTTCATTTCTATTTTTCTCTAACCCTTTTAGACATGCTGACCAGAAGAAGACATTGTGGTGTTGGAAAACCCAACCCCCTTGAGGTAGCAGCACAATACACAGAGAAAGAAAAGGACCCTCCTCACTTCATTGTCAAGCTGTTTGAGAACAAAGGTAAGCAACATCATTTTTTAATTCATAATTAAGTTTCATGGGGCTGCTACAAGTTTAGGTCGTATACTGTCCAACAATATTTGATTGATGTCACAGCAGAAACATAACTTAACAACATAATTTGCATATTTTGCACATTCATTTCAACTCAAGTTCTTTTGTTTTATGCCTCCGACATGAAGTGTGTCGGAGGCATTCTGTTTTTAGGTTATCCGTCTGTCCGTCCATATTTCTTCTTACCACGATAACATAAAGGGATGTACATGTATACCTGGTGTTCTAGAAGGCGCTGTTCGATGGCATGTTGTGCGCCGCCAATTTTATCCCGAAGATTGACCAGGCATATTACATACATCATTTTTTACTGTTTGGAACATCCCTTACCAAAGAAAACTGCTTAATAAGCCTTCGATAAGCCTTCGCTAAGCCTTCACAAAGCCTTCAAAGACTTCATAAGCCTTCGAAGGCTTGTTTTAGTCTTCGACTGCTTATTAGTTTGCGAGAGCTAAGCCTTCAAAGACTTTCATATAAGCAGTCCAAAAATGTTGACTGCTTATTAAGCAGTCAGTAGAAAATAAGCCTTCAAGATAAGCAGTCGCTGAAAATAAGCCTTCAAAGATAAGCAGTCACTTTTAAAGAAGACCGCGAAGGCCTTCAGTTTCCAAATGTGTGCTGCCATCTAGTGGTAGAAGGCGAATAGGCCAACCGGTAATTTTCAAATTCAAATCTTCACTGAGACTCTGAGCTGAGCTGAACGGCGCATATTTCAATCATTACTTTGCAATTTCGCCAGATTTGTCTTCCTGTAAAACCCACAGTATAGGGAATAAGGGGTAGATTATTTACACCAGGAAAGAAGAATTTTGAGAGTATTCTAGAGCAAGAATTTAACAAAATGAGAAAGGATCGAATTTTGTTACCAAGATTACAGTCCCACACAAGCACTCTTGTGTTGGAGAAATACGACCTACTTTGCTTTGCACTGGACTGCTAGCTGCTGGAGCTACTTTAAACATCTTCATTTTGTCCAGAAGGTGAGTAATACAATTACACAATACGAAATTGAGTTTGCTTTCTGTACAGATTAGGAAATTGCATGGCCATTGATTTTGTAAATACTTGTTCACAAAATATTTGAGCAAATTAGCGCAGCTGCAGTTGATGACGGAAGGTTTAGGTAATATAGGCAGTCGAAGGTTTGTACCCAGTGGACAACGCTCGAAGGTTTAGGGGATAAGCAGTCGACAACGAAGGTTTAGGTGATTCAACGACGAAGGTATAAGCAGTCAATGATGAAGGCTTAGCTAATTTGCATATAACTTGGCTGTGGGAAGGCCTACGGACTGCTTATAAGCCTTCGAAGGCTTAGGAAGGTTTAAACACGACTGCTTATATAGAGCTTCATTATAAGCAGTCGACTGCTTATTTAGAGCTTCATTATAAGCAGTCGACTGCTTATTTAGAGCTTCATTATAAGCAGTCGACTGCTTATTTAGAGCTTCATTATAAGCAGTCGAAGCTAATTTGCATATTAACTTGGCTGTGGGAAGGCCTATCGACTGCTTACAAGCCTTCGAAGGCTTGCAGCAATACATTGACATGCATGTTGCAAATGAAGGCTTGCGACTGCTTATATCGACTGCTTGTGACTGCTTATGCGACTGCTTAGCGAAGGCCTTCAGTTCGGTAAGGGATGGCATTGTGTAAACACCGGTATGATCGAATAACATATATTGGTGTCAATGGCAACTCACACCGTCTGTCCGAGTACACATTGTCAAGATATTCTGACAAAATTAATTGTACTGATCAAATTGGCACTGTGATTTTTGGAAACATATAAATTCCTGCCATTTCCATCTCAACATAAAAGAAATAGAATAGTGAATCTGGCATAAGAAAATCAGACACACTTCCTGGATACTTTTTGTAATCCTTACTTCCTCAAACTCTACAATGTACAGAACCTGCAAACCCAACTCTTGGAGGGTGTCCAAAATGAAAACAGTGAGAAACAAAACAAATTGAGTTGAGCTGGACATCCTTATTTACTACATATTGAGTATATAGGGACAATGTCTAGATGTGCGCCTGAAAGTAAATTGCACGAAATAAATTGCAAATCAATATTTTGTTGAAGATGACTTTCAGCTGTGACGTCAACAATCAACTATCGTTGTTTAGAGGTACCATAATGTTGGTGTAATGATGTCTTACTGTAATTTTTCTTACAGGAAGAGGGATAGTGGCACAAAGAGACATCTCAAAAGGGGAGTTTTTGTTGGAGTACCCAGGCCAACTTATATCTGCCCAAGAAGGCAACCAACGTGAGGAGGAGGAATCATCTGGTTTTCGTTTTTTTTTTAAGCATCAAGGACAAAGCTACTGGTAAGTTTGCACGTTTTATTCCTATTAGGAGATTATGAAACGGGCACTGTCCATCCGTATGTGTACTACCTATTACTTTTGGATGGTTCGTCCTATCATTACCAAATTTGAATGGTAGATGCATTAGCTAGGGAGGCCTATACATTTTAGTGTGGTCAAAGGTCACTCAGACTTTGTGTACAAAATGTTAAATTTGTACATAAGATGTTAAATCTACATATTACTTTTGGATGGTTCATCCCATCCTCACTAAAGCTGGATTTTGGGGGTCATGCGGTCAAAGGTCATAGGGCAATAAATAGCTTGTGGTCGTGTTATCTCAAGAACCGATTGACGGATTCTCACCAAACTTGGCCCATGTATGTACCTTAAGGGGCCAATGATGAACTAATTCGATTTTTGGGTTATGAGGTCAAAGGTCACAGGGCTCATTATATATGCAATAAGAGCTTGTGATCACGTTATGTAATTGGGCTTAATATGTAAATCGCGCAATAGTGGAGGCATCATTTTCGACTGCGCGCAGTCGAACATCCATCTAGTTGAATGACATACAATACTGTACACTTTTCTTTGGAATACAGTCTTGATGCAACTGATGAGTGTGCTTTTGGGGATAGACTCGGCCGCCTCGTGAATCATGGACAAGGGAGGGAGGAGAACGCCCGAATGAAGATACTAGATATGAAGTCACATCCACACATGTGGATAATTGCTACAAAGAACATATCTAAAGGGACCGAAGTTCTGTACAATTATGGAGTTCGAGAACTGCCGTGGAAGAAAAAGGTAAAATTAATTTTGATAAATTTAGAGTATGATGGAAATTACAAGATTATTATCAGATGTGATAAAAGTCAAATTTTACCTTTTCATGTTTTTGCTTGTAACCCATGATAGACAAAGCAATACAAGTCATGTATGTGAGATTCAATTCTTTACCTCTGTACATTACCCATAATACTAAAAATTGCCCCATGTGATATAGCTAAACTGATTACATTTTGGACAAGTTTCTACTCATTATTTGGCTTTATTCATCTAATTTCTAATTATTTTTCCCCTCAGCATTTCAGAGGACAAGTTCAAAGGGAAGAAGAAGAAGGAGAGACACAAGTCCACCAACAGGAAAGAGGGACTCTAGGACAACAACAAGAAGGAGAGATGCAGGTTCACCAGCAAGAAGGACAGACACAAGGACATGAACAAGAAAGAGGGACTCTAGGGCACCAACAAGGAGAAGACATACAGGTCCACCAACAAGGAGAGACAGAGGACCACCAACAAGAACGAGGAACACAAATCCACCAACAAGGAGGAGATACACATGTCCACCAACAAGAAGGAGAGACAGAGGGCCACCTACATGAAAGAGAGACTCTAGGACACCAACAAGAAGGAGAGATGGAGGTCCACCAACAAGAAGGAGAGACAGAGGGCCACCTACATGAAAGAGAGACTCTAGGACACCAACAAGGAGGAGAGATGGAGGTCCACCAACAAGAAGGAGAGACAGAGGGCCACCTACATGAAAGAGAGACTCTAGGACACCAACAAGGAGGAGAGATGGAGGTCCACCAACAAGAAGGAGAGACAGAGGGCCACCTACATGAAAGAGAGACTCTAGGACACCAACAAGGAGGAGAGATGGAGGTCCACCAACAAGAAGGAGAGACAGAGGGCCACCTACATGAAAGAGAGACTCTAGGACACCAACAAGGAGGAGAGATGGAGGTCCACCAACAAGAAGGAGAGACAGAGGGCCACCTACATGAAAGAGAAACTCTAGGACACCAACAAGAAGGAGAGATGGAGGTCCACCAACAAGAAGGAGAGACAGAGGGCCACCTACATGAAAGAGAGACTCTAGGACACCAACAAGGAGGAGAGATGGAGGTCCACCAACAAGAAGGAGAGACAGAGGGCCACCTACATGAAAGAGAGACTCTAGGACACCAACAAGAAGGAGAGATGGAGGTCCACCAACAAGAAGGAGAGACAGAGGGCCACCTACATGAAAGAGAGATTCTAGGACACCAACAAGAAGGAGAGATGGAGGTCCACCAACAAGAAGGAGAGACAGAGGGCCACCAGCAAGAAGGACAGACACAAGGACATGAACAAGAAAGAAGGACTCTAGGACACCAACAAGGAGAAGACATACATATATACCAACGAGGAAAGACACAGGTCCACCAACAAGAAGGAGAGACTCTAGGACACCAACAAGGAGGAGATACACATGTCCACCAAAAAGGAGTGACAGAGGACCACCAACAAGAAAGAGGAACACAAATCCATCAACAAGGAGAGACACAAGTCCACCAAAAAGGAGTGACAGAGGACCACCAACAAGAAAGAGGAACACAAATCCACCAACAAGGGGAGACACAAGTCCATCAACAAGAAAGAGAGACTCTAGGACACCAACAAGGAGGAGATACACATGTCCACCAACAAGGAGAGACACATGTCCACCAACAAGGAGGAGATACACATGTCCACCAGCAAGAAGGAGAGACAGAGGGCCACCAACATGAAAGAGAGACACAAGTCAACCAACAAGAGATAGGGACTCTAGGGCATCAACAAGAAAGAGGAACACAAATCCACCAGCACAGGGAGACACAACAAGAAAGAGGGACTCTAGGACACCAACAAGAAGGAGAGATGCAGATTAATCAGCAAGAAGGACAGACACAAGGACACGAACAAGAAAGAGGGACTATAGGACACCAACAAGGAGGAGACATACATTTCCACCAACAAGAAGGAGAGACACAGGTCCACCAACAAGAAAGAGGGACTCCAGGACTCCAACAAGGAGAGACACAAGGACACCAACCAGTCGAAGGAGAGTTCAAAGGATTAGAACAATCTGAGCATCCACAAAACTGTGTATCTCCATCAAGTTGTTCCTCAGATGAGGAAGAGCAGTACACACGCCCAAGAAGGTTCATCTACCCTAACCTATCTAAATCATCAAGTGAACTGCAAAATCATTTTGACAGTGATGAATCTGACCTTGATCCAACATATCGACCAGAGGAGGGTAGCAACGAGGAATACAGCAGTGATGATGAGGCAACTCTTGAGATTCATCCAAGAAATGTTCAAGTGCGCAAGAGACCATCTTCTGTTATATCTACACCAGATGAAAAACCTACAAAGATTTATAAACAGTGCCTTCCAGGATCATTTTCAGGGCCAGAATTGCCACATCAGAAAACCAATGATAATATGGAAACGACACACAAACACGAGGACAAGAAAACAAGGTACAAGAAGCCATCAAGGCCATGCCCTTTCTGCAACAAAGCTTGTGGTGAAAAGCTCTCGAGACACATTTGTTTGGTACATAAGGATAAGGAGCAGGTGAAATCTGCCATGCAGCTGCCAAAGCGGGAGAGAGACAAGGTGTTCTCAAAGTTCAGGAAGGAAGGCATATACCAAGTAAATAGAGAACGTATGAAAGATGACAACCCTATTTATGAAAGAGAAAAGTTACCAAAATCAGGGAATGATGACAACCTTAAAATGTGCAGTAACTGCAAGGGCTTTTACAGCTCACATTTCTTCTGGCATCACAGGAAAGTTTGCCAAGGTGATATATGCACTCCATCTGAAGGAGTACCAGTAAACCTCATGGAAGGGAAAGATCCAGTGTATCAAAAACACCCAGACTTTGTCACTGACATACTTAGTAGATTCCAGAATGATGACGTTGGGAATACGTGTAGAACGGACAAAGTGATAGTTAATGTTGGACATCGACTGTGGACTAAACACAGATCCAAAAAAGACAAGAAACTTGAAGTAAGAAAATCAGTTATGGCTGATATGAGAAGACTTGCCACCTTATACACTGAGTTTAAGAAGAAACACGAGGTTCATGGGACTGCAGATCTCACAATGGGACATGCTGGAGACATGTTCAGTAGAGAGCACTTCGAATCTTTGACAGAGGCAATCCAGACGCTCACTTATGATGAAACTGAAGGCAAACTAAAGCCAGGACTGAAACTCTGCTTGTACTTTGTGCTGAAAAAAGCTAGCAAAATCACTAAAGCTAGTTTTCTTGTATCCAGGCTAGATGAAGATGCATCTGAGATTGACAAGTTCGTAGAGATTCTTGACTTGAACCAGAATTTGATTTTTGGGGATGCACACTACGAAATCCAAAAGAATCGCCAAGTGCGTTTGAGGAAGCCTGCAGAGCTCCCGCTTGAGGCTGACATTGAAGCATTGAAGACATACACTCAAAAGAAAGTCACAGAAATCATCTCTGATGAGTTCCTGGTTTGGGATTCTCACACATTTGTAGAGTTACGAGATCTGACTTGCTCGCGATTGACATTGTGGAATGCAAGGCGTGGTGGAGAACCCAGCAGGCTTACAACCGAAGAATGGAGAGATGCAGAAGAGGGTGTATGGATGCAGAAAGACAAGATTCATGAAGTTAAAAATCCAGCCCATCAGGAACTTTTATCTCAGCTCAAGATATGCTACCAGACTGGGAAGGGCACTAATCGCTTGGTTCCAGTCCTGTTCCCAAGAGACACTGTGAAACCTGTGCAACTTCTATGTGATCAGGAAATCCGGCATACAGCAGGAATAAGACCTGATAATAAGTACATATTCGCTTGTACTCAAATGTCTCATGACCATGTTGGAGGGTGGCATGCTCTAAAGAATGTCTCAGACAACATCAGCCTTTCGTCCAACGTTACGGTGAATGCCACCAAGAACAGGCACAGAGTGTCTACAATTTACGCATCCCTCGACTTGCCTGATGCTGACTTGGAACTATTTTACCGGCATATGGGACACTCCTCTACAATCAATCAAACAATCTACCAGACCCCACTTGCCATCCAAGAAATCACCCGAGTAGGGAGTCATCTCCATCATATAGATATAGGAGGTAGGTAAACATTTATACAAATTTTGCATTGGTTCAATGTACCATATTATATGTACAGCAAATTTATGATTATCTCGAGTTCAGATTTATAACAGCGAGGCAGTAGTAATAGAAATAAGAGCTGATATAATTTTGAATTGGGATAGCATATAGGATAATAACATCGAGCAACAAAACAACCAGTAAATGATACACCCAATTGTACATTTATATGAAAACAATTGCAAAATATTGATGGAAAAAACTTGCACCATTTCATATTCCCAAATCTGAAGCAAACCTAACGCAGAAAACAAAAATGTTCATCAAGTGATATTTACTATTTATTTATTTCATAAACTCTTTGTGTTTGGTATATATTTATTTTGTATTTGTTTGATTGCACTATTACAAATTTGTTAATTTGTTTATGCTCTCTCTCTCTTATATTGACTGTTGTTATATCGTGTATGCAAATTATTGATGTTCGCATTTTATATGTCTTTCCCTTCCCATAGGAATGAGGGCACGCAAAGAATCTGAAGCGTCTGATGACGATGGCTGCTCAAGTGCACCAGCGACCTCAAAGGATGGCTGCTCTACAGCACGGGTGAACTCTAAACATGACGACTCAACTCTAACGGTGACCTCTGAGGATGGCAGCTCAACTACACCAGCGACCTCAAAGGATGGCTGCTCTACAGCACGGGTGAACTCTGAGCATGGCAACTCAACTCTAACAGTGACCTCTGAGGATGGCAGCTCAACTACACCAGCGACCTCAAAGGATGGCTGCTCTACTGCAACATTGACCTCTGGGGATAGGTCTTCAGGTAATATGAAAGCGAAGTGTTTTTTTTTTTGCACATTGTTGCTTTGATATTAAACAGGGAGTTGTTCCCATTAACTCTGCAGTTCAACTATCACATGTGCTGAATTCATAGTTGTATTGTATTGTTGAGAATCATAGGCATGAGTTCAAAACTTGGTTCTTGTAGAATGAATCAGTTCATAAAGGTTTCAGCATATGATACAATGGAGATTCATGAAGAAAAAAAAAAGTAGTAGATTCATGCATTTATATGACAAATATTGGTGTAAAACTAATTGGATCTGCTCAGGAACGCAACACTGTATGGGAAAAGTTTATAGCTGACCATAATGAGAAGTTTTCCCAGCAACCATTGTAAATACTGAAAGATTGTGTGATATGGATACAATTTGAATCTAGCAACTGCGAGAGTAATGGTAAAGGTGTATTTGGCCTAGACATTTAAAAGTTGGAGGGACACATGGGCTCTAACTACCTGTGCGCATGCATACAGCTTGTTGATTGATTTATTCCATATTTTTTAGCCCATGTGAGCAGAATGCTCAAGTGAGATTTTGCCATCCGTTTTGTTTGAAGGGGGTATACTGGAATCAGCGTGCAGT